TGCCCCCCCCCCCCCCGCTGGCGCCACCCCTGTATTGAACAATAATTATAGTCTTTGACACGGATCTATTTCATCTATCGCCATGGGCGTCATCATAATGATAAATTAAGTAAATCATCTTTATGTTTGTGAAATAAGTTATGTGGTGTTTCCACTCACAATAGTGTAGTCGCCATACTCTTGCACAAAAGTTAAATTCAAAAAGAGGAGAAAGGAAAAACTTCTTGATTGATTTTAAAAGTACTGTACATGTCATGGGCGGATGCATGGGAACCCAGCCAGTCCCGCCGAAAAATTAAAAAATGAGGGAGAAAAACAATTGAGAAGAGTAAAAAGGCCTATGACGGAGTTTTAGCCATTGTTACAGTATGTAGAACCCAGCTAGAACAGCTAGCCATGCTCATGGCGTTAACGCACATGCGCTCTCGTGCGGCGGTCCGCAGGGCAACCGACCCTTAGGGCCCCTTGCGTTCCCCTACACATAGGGTCCTCGCTCTAAAACACACTGATACAAAAGGGCTTTGTTGATACATAACAGCATCGATTGTAAGACATATAGGCCTATATCATTACTCCAGTGGGGGTGGGGTTCCCAACCGGCCAGGACCCCCTACATTTGTCAAAAAAATGGAGATAAAATATTCAAAAGTCTGAATAAGTGCCATTTCCGGGCATCTATAGGTGTCATGGTCATAATTTGCTTGGCGACTCCAAATATAGAATAGACTATAGGTCGTTCATTATACATTTGCGACGCCCGTGAGGGGAGGGTTGTCTAAAGGAGGGGAACAAAGCTCTCGTCGGGCAACAGTCAATAATTTTGTCGAGGAACACTGCTTTGAAAACCATTCAGAGTGCCATTTCCGAGTGTCTACAGGGGCCTATTCTTAAAATTTGCTCACCTCAGCCCCAGTCATCATTGGGCTGAGGTGGGTGTCAGCCCCAACTATCATTGGGCTGAGGTAGGTGTGGACTACCTATTGAGCCCCCTGTCAGAAAATTTCTGGATACTCCCCTGCTCAGTGGCGTAGAAAAATATTTTTCATTGGGGGGATAATTGGCGTGTTAGCCAGTGTCGTACCAGGCGCGGGGGTG